GCGTATGCGTGCAAGTATGTGTGTGTCTGTGTGTCTGTGTGTGTGTGTGTTTGTGTGTGCATATGAGTGGTCGTGTGTGTGTGTGTGTGTATGCCTGTCTCCCTGTGCTACCACAAAAATCAGGGTAAGACTGTCCCCGTGGTTTTATGCACCCTCATAATTTAGCAAAATTTGATCTTTTTTTGTGCGCATAATTTCAGATTATTTCCCTTTATCATTCGCTGTTAAAATTAACAGCATCGCATAATTTCACATTTTTTCGGCTCAGTTTGCATAATTCCAGAATTTTTCTTGCATAAAACTACGGGGACAGGTAAGAAGACAGAGTGGTGAGATCACAACAATCCTCCAGTACCTGGTAGTACGCTGCTCCCCGTGCTAGCAAAGCCGAATGACGACACTCGGTACTGAGTGACCACCACAATGACGTCATAGTCGGTGACCAGTCGGGAGGGAGAGTTTTCTTCTCCACTACCCAGGAGGAAGGCTCCGCCGTGGATGAAGAACATCACCTTAATCAAGCAGATGGAATAAAGAACATTTATGAAGAACATCACCTTAATTAAGCAAATGGAATAAAGAACATTTATGAAACACATCACCTTAATAAAGCAGATGGAATAAAGAACATTTATGAAGTACATCAATTTAAGCTGATGGAATTTTTTTTAAAACATTTATAAAGAACATCACCTTAATTAATCTGATGGAGTAAAGAACATTTATGAAGTATATCAATTTAAGCTGATGGAATTTTTTAAAAAACATTTATAAAGAACATCACCTTAATTAATCTGATGGAGTAAAGAACATTTATGAAGTACATCAATTTAAGCAGATGGAATAAAAAAAATAATAAAAACATTTATAAAGAACATCACCTTAATTAAGCAGATGGAGTTATGAACATTTATGAAATACATCAATTTAAGCTGATGGGGTAAAGAACATTTATGAAGTACATCAATTTAAGCTGGTGGAGCTGAGGCTCGAATCCTCGAACCTGCAATCTCAGCTACCATGACAGATGGTACTACCTGCAGTTGTTCATTCTGCCTTGTAGATGCATACGGGAGTATGAAAGGCTAAGTGAGTAAACCCTAAACAAATCCGGAGGGAGGGCCCCTAAGGCAGTCGACAGGGAGGAACGATTGGAACTATCTCCTGGCAGCCCCTGCGCCTCTACTGGTTCCAAATGTATTGACCTCGTCGCTCCTTTGGACTAAATCAACGAAGTCGAGAGGGGGTCAGGCAAACTGGGCAAGACACGTTCTCCATACAGTCAGGCCCAGGCGTTTAGCTCAGTCAAGATTTCAATATTTTTGGGAG